TCTTTTTCGAACCTTCCATTGACTCTTGATGCTGCAACAAAATCAAAACGAGGATGTTAAAAATCGAAAACAGAATGTTACGATATAAAAAAATATATAGAGAAAAGAAACAAGGATGAGAAAACCCAAAAACTAACTTATATTGCAAAAGGATAAAACAGCAGAAGTGAAGTGAACAAGAAGATCTGATATTGTCTTGTATTTATAGATCAAAAGGGAACACTACGGTTATTAACGAAAGCAACTCCTCGTTAATGAAAGCAACTCCTCGATAATGAAAGCGACTCTTGGGTTACTCCCTAGAAATAACTGAAGTCGTTTGTAAAGGACTCTTTGTTGTCCCTTCGTTTTATGGGCATAAATGGGCTTAAAACCATAAATGGGCCTAAAAAGAATTTATGGGTGTTTGACCACATAACCGAAATCAAACTCAACTAGATGTTTTTTTTATTCGAATAGATCATACCAAAATAACAAAAAATGTACCAAACTCTTATAAGTTTAAATTAGAAATCAAAATTTAAAAACTGACAACACGTTTTACCACAGCTTTATTCTTTGGATGCTCTGTTCTCTTCATGCATGATCAACATATGTCTTGAAAATGCATCCGAAAAGCTGTTATGTTATCTCATTTAATATATTTTTGCATTCTCGAGAGAGGAATCAAACGGAATTATTAATTCAAACTAAGAACTGAATGGGTATTATAAACTTATAAGCCTTTATTAAAAACGTTTATAAATTTTTTTAATGAAAATAAATCATAAAACTGGTATTTAAAAATGGGCCTAAAACCAGAAATGAGTCTAAAACTAAGATAATGAATCATAAAATCTAAAATTGGATTTATAAACACGGATTTACGATTTTTTTTTAAAAAAAAATGTCTCATAAGAAGAATTTATAGGTCTTTATAAACTTATAAGCCTTTGTAAAACGATTTAATGAAAATAAATCATAAAACTGGTATTTAAAAATGGGCCTAAAACAATAAATTAAAACTAAGCAAAAGAATCGGATTTATAAACACGGATTTAGGATTTTTTTTTTTTTTAAATGTCTCATATGAAGAATTTATAAGACTTTATAAACTTATAAACCTTTGTAAAACGATTTAATGAAAATAAACATCATGAAACTGTTATTTCTCTAACTAAAAATATAACTGAGCCTTAAACTAAATAACATTAAATGGATTTAAATCTAAAACAGTATGAGCAACAGAAGTAGGGTTTCTCGATTCAAGGGATCTATGTTTTGTCGATTCAATTGCAGATAAGAAATCAGGGAAAGGAGTTAAAAAGATTACTCTGAATCTCTCTCAATATCTCAGGTAATTTTGCATTTTTCTCGTCGTTTTTTAGTCGATTAATTGCATTTTTCTCGTGGTTTGGTAGTCGATTAATTGGTATCTGAGATTGTAATTAGGCTTCAAGTTTCTTGTTTTTTTCATTTCTGTCAATCATTGGATTCATCTCTGGAAAAGTTTGGATTTTTTAGTTCTCTCTGTTGTTGACTCGTCGAATTTGTAATGTATTGTCTTACTTTGAATTTGTGTTTCACATCAACAAACGATTGTGTTTGATTTGATTCAGGGGAAAGGATGAGTAACAATGAAAGGAAAATTGCTCTGCCAAAAAGAAAGTTTGAAGATGCGACAGATAAATTCAAATTGGAGAGAATTGCGAAGCGTTCCAACCTTGGTTTGGTTGAAAAGGTTGAACGGGTTTTGGTAGATGATTTTAACAAGATTGAAGACTCGTTCATGGGTCCGATAATCAAGATGGCAAGGAGGCAGGAAAAAATGGTGTTTTCAAGGCATTTGACTCACCATTTGCTATTAAGGAGAATTGAGCTTGGTGATAAGAGTTTGTGGTTTTCTTTTGGAGAACAAGCAATGAGGTTTTCTCTAAGGAAATTTCACTTGGCAACAGGTCTTCCTTGTGTTTTTGAAGGTCAAGTGGAGACACCAAGAAGCAAGAAGAAGAAGAAGAATCCATGGATGACAAAAAATGAAACTTTGAATAGCTTGACTAAACTGTTTGAGGAAAACAGTTCAGATTCCACTGCGAATCATAGATTGAGATTGGGGGAAACAATACTTGTGGAAGGGATACTTATGGCAATCAATCCAGTGACTCGCATACCCGAGGAGAATCTGGTTAGAGCTTCAAACTTCAAAGAGTACTGCAAGTATCCATGGGGGAACATAGCTTATGTTTTTTTACGCAAGGAAATCAAGGACATTACCATTAAATAGTTGCAGAAGGTACAGTATGGGATTTGTGGATTCATAAATGCAGTTCATCTATGGGCGCTGTCTTCTATGGATGTGCTAGAGAAACACTACTTTGGAATTAAGGATCCGAAAACAGAGTATCCGTTGTGTTTGCATTGGATAGAAACCAAATCGTTTACTATGAAAGAAGTGATAAGATTTGACACTAATGAGAAGGTAACGATATATAAGGCCTTATAACATTGATGTGTTTTTTTGCAGTATTATTATTTTTAAGGTATGTAAACACTCATAAACAAAATTATTTATACAGTACTACTCTTATTATCTAATAAAAAATGATTTCGGATTTAGAAAATGTCAAATTTGAAATATTTATAAGCGTTTCTAAACTTATAAACCCTTATAAAGTCATGGATAAAATTTTTAAAATAAAAATGAATCACAAATCTGTGTATTGTAAAAGCATGTAAAGACTCATAATACAAGTATTTATAGTACTCTTATTATCAAATTGGCACTACGCAACTACTCTTGTTGTGACCTTTCTGCCCACATCTGCTACATTTGTAATATGTTGATTTGGATGTTGACGGATATTTTCCATGTTCCCACGAACTTGGGATCCTTTTTTTTTTCCTCCTACCACTAGGATAGCGAGTAGATGGAGGAAGGCAAACCATAGAAGCTATATGGGAAGGAATATTCCAATATGCTTTATCACCAACTGCATAAATACTCTCTGAATATGCTAGTTTGAACCTAATAATAAAATTAAAAGAATCGATAAAAGTGTTATAAACCCTTATTATTTTGATAAGTTTTATAAACAGTGAATGAGAAAAACGAACCTTTCATTTGAGAAGAACTCATCCACATAGTCGTTTTCATGCTTGTTTCCAGATTTGGCAGCGGCAATAGCATGAGCGCAGAGATACTTCTCAACGTCAAATTGAAAGCATGAACAATGCTTTGTTTGGAAATTTACCACCTGATCTCTTGAATCACCTTTAACTTCAAATTCAGAATCATTAATTTTAAAGACTTCAAACCAACGTGACTTTTTATCATATTACTCTTTCATCTTCTTCCCAACTTCAAAAGTGACAGGATGGATATGACGAATTCCTTGCTCACGCTGTTCAGTGAACCACCTAGTCATAATTACCCTAATAGAGTCAAAAAGACATACTATCGGATACTCACGATTAACTTTCAGCAAAGCATTAATGGATTCAGCCAAGTTTGATGTCATAATGTTGTAACGATTAGCAGAAGAATATGCTCGTGACCACTTCTTGAAGTCTGCTTTACAAAGATAGTCTGCTACTTCAAAGTATGCTTGCTCAATCTCATTAAAATAATAATGAAAATCCTCCTTTATGTATGCATAAGCCGCCTCAACAATCAATGGGGTGAGGGTTGAACTCTTGAACTTGTCGAGGACATTTTTTTCAAAATGGAACATGCAGATTCCGTGATGAGCAAGGGGATAGTGTTGTGAAAGAGCACTTTCAATAGATTGAGCACGATCAGAAACAAATACCAAATCATCTTCATAAGGAATGATTGATTTCAAACACATCAAAAACCAACTCCATGAGGCTTCATTCTCATAATCAACTACAGCAAAAGCTATAGGATATAAATGGAAATTACCATCTTGTGCAGTGGCAGCAAGTAGAGTCCTTTTATATTTTGATTTCAGATGGGCACCATCAATGGAAATCACCTTCCTCATCAGATTAAACCCTCTGATAGATGGACCAAACTACAAAAAGGCATATTTGAATTTCCCAACATAATCAATATCGATAAAAGTCACAGAACCTGAATTCTTATCTTTTATCATGTGAAACCAGCTGGGCAAAGCTTCATAACTTTCATCAGGAATACCCCTAGCTAGATCTTGGGCATGCTCTTGACACCTCCAAGCCTTTGAATATGAAATTAAAAACACCATGATCTTTTCTATCCTTCTCAATGATCTGTTTTGGTTTCATTCCAATTTTTCCTCCTTCATAATGATTGCTGACCATACTTCCCAACAATTTCGCAGTAGCTTGCTGATGTTTAACACTTCTCAGAGAAGTGTCACATGTATGTTTAGATACATAATGACGCACAATAAACATCTGAGATCCTTTCACTGATTTTGCACGAAAACTCCAGCTACATTTTTCTTCCACACAAGTAAGAATATAACGTTTGCTGTCTGAATATTCTGTGCAGAACTCAAAGCTTTGACTAACTGCAAGCGACTTCAAATTCATGCTCATTTTCTTTTTTTCCTTAAAAAACTTCCCGCAGAACAATTCATCAGTGTCATCACATTGATTTGTAGCACAAGTTAGAGATGAGATCTCTGAAAAAGAATGTGACTCTTCTCCCAAAATTTGTTGACCGCGTCTGCTAGAAAAAAGATGACAATTTGGACCTTTCAGATCCATCTACAACAGGACCCATCAAGTTCAATCCTCTCTAAAGAAAAAAAAAGAAACATGAACATTAAAAAAGAGTTAAAATGGAATTTATAACTCATTATAAGATATTGATTATACTCCGAAAGTTATATGTACCTTATTACTAACAAAACCAGTTGAAGGAGATACATAATGATTATGTCGTATTCCTGATAATTCATCAACTCTCTGAATATTGTTCCATTCAGTCTCACGGAGAAATTGTGTTCCTCGCTACAAAATTAGATAGAGATCTACTTTCTTAAACAATTTATAATACCTTATAATTATGAGTATTAAGATAAAACAGTGTTGAAAAGTACCTCAAATGCACTACTACTTCGAGCAATAGGCGAATAGCGATTACTGGACAATTCATCACGTGTCTGAGTCAGATTTGGCATAATCAATGGTGATAGTTGTGTTCCTCCAGCATTTGGCAAATCATGGGTAATTAAAACTTCATTCCGTGTTTCTTTCTGAAACATAAAAACATAAAGTTAGTAAATGAATCTTGTAAAATAGTTTTATAAAGCCTTCTAAATATGTGTACTTGTCTTTACAGTTAAACATAGATGAAGACTTCCATTTTGTTGTAGATTATTCAGATACGTTGAAACATGTCGATCATTCCTGATAAACACTGGAGGAATATCTCTACTTCCAAAATTTACTTTTGAAAGAGATGGATAACTAAGCTTCACATTGTTTCTGTTGGAGTCAATATCAAAATCTTCTAGCAAATAACCAACTAAATCATTGAACCTAATGTCTTTAGGAATCATACTAATGGAAGATCATATTTCATCGTCGGTTATGAAATCCCAGTGATTTCCATTTACGAGGTCCCATTCTCCGCAAACAGCACAAATCTCAATCATAGTACCCTGAAACATAAAAAATTCGTCTAATACAATATTTATAATGCCTTATAAATAAGAGATTTATAAAATTCATGAAAAAATATTCGTCTCCTTTCCAGAAACTGGTCGATAACAGCACAAAAAACACAGTTATACACATGCTCTTCGATGAGATAAAGAAATCAAGCTAAAGAAACGTCGTGTTCGTCTAATGAAATATTTATAAAGCCTTATAAATAAGAGATTTATAAAATTCATGAAATAATAATCATCTCCTTCCCAGAAGCTGATCCAGAACAGCACTAAACACACAGTTATGCATATGCTCTTCGACGAGATTAAGAAATCAAGCTAAAAAATCGTTGTACCTTTGCCGCCGTTTCTAGATCGTTCGTCCCAACGCTATTCATCTTCGATTGATGTAAATCTGGGTGTCGATTTAGCCGGAGTCGTTGAATCACACAGGGGGATCGCCGGAATCGTTGAATCTCGCCGGAATTGCTGAATCTCGCCGGAATCGTTGAATCTCGCCGGAGAATCTCGCCGGAGAATCTCGCCAGAGTCCGTGAATCTCGCCGGAGTCTGAATCTCTCGTCGGCGATGAAGAAACAAGATGGAGGAAGAATAGGTTTATGGTTCGCCGGAGTCGTCTGAATCTCGTCGCCGATGAAGAAAAGAGACTTTGAAGATTATGTTTATGTTTGAATAATCAAGGGTACCATAGCCTTTTGCTTATCAAAATTTTGAGTGTAAAGTTGGTTAATGTAAAAGTGAAATAGGGTATCATTAAAGTACAAGTTTTAGCAATTTCCCTATAATGTAACGTGCAAAATAGAAAAATAGAAAAAATAAAAGGTTGAAATTATTTAGTAGCATAAAGAAACCATTTGGTGGAATATTGCAAGCAGCAAACGATCATTTATTATGATCAAATAACGTGTTGGTCTTTTTTAAAATATGAAAGCACAAAAATAATATGTCATGGTATTTTAAAAAGTAACTCCTAAAAATAATAAGATTAAGTTATAATTTCTTTGATTGTATATAATAGGTTAATTAGTAAAGAAATAGTCCAACAATCTTTGAGTAGATTTTTAGAAGGATTATATTTTAATGATATAAAGTATACTTTAACCCCCACGCAGATATATTTTATTTTTATAATTATTTATATGTAATTAGTATGAAAAATCGATATAAAATATTTATTATTACAGCTCAGTGTTTAAATTATGTAAGTTAATGTATCTTGTTCGATATTATTAACATATAATTATTTATAATTGTATTCATGTTTTTATTTGAATGAAAAAACATATATTAATATATAATTTATTTATATTTAATTTATTCTATAAATAAATATAATTATATATGAAATCAAATAAAATATTATCTATTTAACCCGCTTCATTAAATTTATGGTGTTTTCTAATAAAATTGCATTAGAATTTATTTATATTTCTCATTGATAAAAATTCATTTTAGTGATATTTTAATTTAAATAAGCTAAATAATTTAATTTAACTTACAAATATAAAATATAAGATATAAACTAAAAAAATCACATAATTAAATAATAGTATAATTTATAATTTTTATAATTCATCTTTATCAAACTTAAATTTTATTTTTGTAATTTTTATATTTTAACTTTATAAATTAAAATATTTCTAATAACAAGTTATTTTTTATTTAAAATTTAAATATTGTTTATTTCTAATATTTTAATAATAATTACGAATTTAATTAATTGTTTAAAATTAATAGCTAACCAATTTTATAAGATTTTGTTGAAACAAATATGAAATATTAAAAATAAAACAGTGTTATAATAGAATATTCTTATGTGTGATGGTATATTATCTAATATATAAATATTTTTAATATATTGAAAGTTATTAATGAAAAAATCCAATGACTTTTTATCAGTAGATAAAAATAGGACTCTGTTTTAATAGATTAGACTAGATTTTGACTCTCGCTTTCAAAGCGTGGGTTTATGTTTGATGCAAACTTTATATAACTTCATCAAACATAATATTTTCTAAAATACAGGATAATCTTTCGGTGAAAATTTTATATGACCGCATTTTGATTCAAATATTCGACATGTATCCTATGATCCATACTTACAAGTTACAAACATGCCTAATTACAAATTATTACACCTATGATGTGATATAAATTAGTTTTGATTCAAAATATTTGACGTGTATCGCAATAGGTACTTGAACTCCCAAGCATAACTTAAATTATGTTTTATATTTTTTTAAATTAATTTTATATTTGATAAATATTTTATCTGTTTGGAATAACCCATAAAGTTATAATAAAAAAATATCAGTAATAACATGTTTCATCATATAATTAAATATTAATAGTAGCTATTATTAATATTTTTTTTCTAAAAAAGTCTATATATATATTTATATATATATATATATATATATATATATATAAACGATTTTAAGACTTTATCTATGATAATTATATTATTATGTATTGGCGGAAGTTTGAAGAATTTTTTTATTATTATTTCGTGTATCAGTTACATATAATTCAATAATATTTTTTATTTCCTAATGTTTTAATTTAGATATGTATATTAAAATATAATATTATTACTTTTAAATATCTTATGGTAGTATTTTGTTATTATGTAAATGTAATTCATTTAGTTTATAATTTATAAAGTAGATTAATTTATATTACAATTATTGATTTGTGGAATTTTTAGATACAAATATGAAATATTTATATATAAATGTTATAGAAGGTTATTTCTCATTCTATAAATCAAAATGAATTAATATTCATTTGTAATTTAATATAATATTACATTACGTTTTTATTATTAAAATAATATTAAAACAATAAAGATTTATTTTTAAAATAAAAATAGGTTAAAGATATTGTTTAAAATGTAATCTGAAAAAGTATTTAAAAGTATCTTTTTGATATCTTAATTTGAATATATTTAAATATATCTTATATTAATATTATGTATTTATTTAATAATAACTAAGTTTGTTGTATGTAACATAACATAAAATTAAATAAATGTAATGTTTTAACGTAGACTACTTCTAAGTAGATATAATATGCTTATGTTTTAATAGAATTGATAATATGAGCGGAATGAAACAAAAATTAAGGAATAAATGAAATGTTAATACTGATTACTTTTCATTTTTTTATAAAAATTGATATCTGCATAACAAGAAGGAGGGGTAAATACATATTCATGTTCTAAAGTTACACTAGATTTGGACTCGTGCACCTCACGAATTTTTATTTTATCTTTTATATAGTTATATATTTATTGTAAGTAGACATTGTTATATCATTGTTTTATATTAGATATTATTTCGTTTTCTTATAAATATAATATAATATTTCATATGTTACTTTTTCAAAAATACGTTACTATTTATTTTCTTGTCACTATTATATATCGCATATGTGTTGTCATATAATTAATTATATTTTATACGTACCAATATATATATAATCATATAACTAATAGTATTTTATACGTACCTTCATATAAATAATCATATATATTTTATTATTAAAACTTAATGTAAAATATAAAAACCATAATTTAAGTTGGTGTTTGAAATTGGGTTTTGTATTGTATTTTTCTTATATGTATTTTAAACATTTTTTATAATGTTTATTAAGAAATATTTTAGTAAAATCGGATTTTTGAATATATGTATTTTTAATGATTATTTTAGACAAAAGATGTTTTAGATGATGAGATTGAGCTTTTAAGCTCATTACTTTTTTCTTAATATACTATTATCTATGTTTCCAAACAACATTATATTTTTTATTTTTTCTGTTATACTTGTTTCCAAACAATCCAAAGAGTACTTCTGCTTTAATAAGTTATATACATTTTCCAGATTTATCAAAAAGTCACATTTTTTTGGATTCTTCAGTAATTCTGATATGTCCGATAACTCAATCTAGACAATTGGAGGAAAGGATTACGTTTCTAGATTGTTCTGAAACTAATCTACAAATCATTCATGTTATATGTATTTTTGTATTAAGCGAAAAGAGTATCTTCTACAAAATACATATTCTTCTTTTTTCTATGTGGTATCAGAACTATTGGAGCTTTAACATGTCAAATCGATGGAGGCTACCATCGTTTTCGAAATAACATTAATGTCTCGAGTTCCACACATTCAAATTCACCAACTACAACAACTTATTATGGAAAAATCAGTTAGAATCTCTGCTCTCCAGCCAAAACCTCATCGTTTTTGTTAATATTGGAGTTGTCACTGCTCATGTACAAACGGTTCACTTTGTTAACGCGACGTCTCCGAAGAAGTTCCTCACCCACATTACGCGTCGTGATTTTGTACTGATTCAACTTGTCTGCTGCTGGCTGTTTGACACTTTGTCTGATGAAGTCTTCTGTCACGTTCACAAACTTCAGATGTCTAGAGAAATCGGGATCTTGCTTGCTGAGAACTTCAACAAAAACAAATTTCTCAAAAGTTATCTCTACATCACACCAATCAACTCCTTGCAAAAAAAAAGTTAAGTCCTTATCTACAACAGAAAATTTAAAACAATTTTATGACTGTCTAAGCTCCATAGGAAACCCATAGATGAATCCATGAAGATTTTTGGGTTTCTAAATGGAATAGGAATGGAATATGACCCTACAACTAATGTTATTTAGAGTTCTCTTTACAAGTTTCATCATTCAACTCTTAATGATATCTTCTCAAATGTTAAAGGTTTCAAGATCAAGCTTCAGCTTACGAAGACTTGTCTCTGCCACACCTGACCTTGCTTTCAATACTGAACATACTGACTCTAGTTCTTCTCCATATATCCCTAACAATTAAGGAAGAGGTTGCTTCGATCACTATAGAGGTAAAGGAAGTTACTCTACACATGGAAGATGATTTTTCTCAGAATAAATCTTCTTCTAGTTCCAAATATGTAAGGCTAATATGTAATATTTGCGGACAAGTAGGACATACATCAAAAGTGCTACAATCGCTTTAACACAGCTACCATGCTAAGATTTTTCTCATCTCTTTACATCACTGAAGATAATTGAAAGTAATGGTACCCCGATTTTGAAGTATCTGCTTATGGTACCTCTTCAACTAATGGTCTACAGATATCAACTCAATATGAAGGTAATGACATTGTCTTAGCTGGAGATGGAACTTACTTACTTATCACCCAAGTTAAATCAGCCAATATATTTTCCTCCAAATGTACTATCCCATTAAAAGTAGTTTTTAGTATGTCATGCTATTTTAAAAAGTAACTCCTAAAAATAATAAGATTAAGTTATAATTTCTTTGATTGTATATAATAGGTTAATTAGTAAAGAAATAGTCCAACAATCTTTGAGTAGATTTTTAGA